AGTCATCCAAGAACTAGAACTGTAGGCGTGAGTCACTACCCAGAGCTTTGTGTGTCCTTTGTGACAGACTCATGTCATTAGCATAATTTCCTCAGTGTTCATCCATGTCATTTTCTTCTCTCAAGACCTTATTCATGTTGAAGACGAAATTACAATTCCATTTCATTTGTCACATTTTTACCAGCCCTTGCTCCATCCAGGGACATTTAGATGGTTTCACCTTTCTGTTTACCAATATCACTCTTTTGTTTTGTAATCCCCAGCATCGACCTAGACTTTCATATTTTCTTGATATTGGCTCATGTTAGGCACTCTTTGTAATATCAGCTCCCTTGTTTGGGAAGTCAGCCTACTTGGCATACATGTCAACCAAGACATCTCCTTCAGCAATAATCCTTTGCTTACACTGCCTCATATGCCTATTCTCAGAAGGAACTGAATGCCCAAGAAAAAATACACAACACACACACACACACACACACACACACACACATATCCACCACATAGGTGTGTCTGCCTCTCCAACCACAGTTGCAGATTCTAGGAGAGCAGATATGCACCATCTCATATTTAGCATCATTATCTCCACTCTCAAAACTCAAGCACTGCATATCCTATACATTTAAGAAATGAAACATTTGCTCAGCTGTAGAATGAGCCAGAATTCTCCTCTTTTTAAGCAGTCATGCCTTAAATCAGTAGTAAAGTTTTCTCCACTAGGAAAATATTTGATGTTCAAAGTATAAGAGAGTCTATAAACAAGAGTTTCTTGACTTTCTATACACGTAGCCTTATTCATCACACAAATACTTAAATCTACCATAGCTGTTCCCTCCTTGACTGCAAACATAGCATTAATTTAGTTTTTTTGCTCTTGGACTTATTTATTTAAAAGTATTTCTGACAGACAGTTTTGTTTTCCCTGAAATTTCATGTCCCTGATATTTACAAATCAAGCGATGTTCCAGTGGCCTCCTCTAAGGTGTAACCTTCATCTCTGCCCATCATGTACAAATCATCCCCTTTTGCTTTCTCATTTCTGTCTTCATCACTACCCTTGCTTGTTTTCACTGAAGTTATTTACTCAATTTAATGGGCTCAGCTGCTCGGGGTTCAGCTTTGAGACACCCTTCATGTTTCTTTGATTTTTCTCAAATATTCCTCTGCTTAACAAGTTTCTAGTTATTGAACTGACATAGAAAGCTTGAATTCTTTACCTAAAGGTTTTCCTGCTTATGACTTTTATTTAATGTCTTAGCATTGAACATTTCAAAATGAAGAGTCCAAATCCAAAATGTATGTTAGAAAGAACCTCGTTGTTAAAAAACAATTTGCATGGGAAATGTTCACCACAAGTGTGTATGTATCTATCATGGTGTTAAGATTCCATTTGGAAGACATCATCTTCCCTTCAGATGCACCTGCCTCTCAAGAGGAAGGTGAAAATTTAGATTAGTGCACAGGTAGAATAAAACTTCTTTCTAAGGGAGGGACCCATGAGACTAGATGAAGAGAGTATGGGAGCCTCATTTGGTGGGAGGTGATAGAGTGAGAAAATCTGAGGTGATGGAAGCTTATAGCAGTTCAGTGATATTCCCACACCCTGAATTTCAATGCAGAAAGCAACAGGGAATCATGCTGGAAGAGAAAGATCAAAGCTGGGCATTTTTCTCTCCCTCATTCATGTCTAATTTCATCCCATGTGAATCTGCTATCTCCCTACAGAAGCACACCTTTTTGGTATAATCACAATTTTAGGATATGTAATTGAATATTCATTTTAAGTCAGCTAGTCTTTGGAGATGTAAAAACTGATTGATATTAACAGTAATTAGTTTCATGCTCTTACAGGTTCTCTTTCTATCACTGTAATTTGAACCTTGTAGCTTGTTCTCCAATCTTCATTATATTCTGACTCTACTGAGTAGCAGCAGTAAGTATTGGGGAAACTGGGGGCAGTTGAATTTCAGTTGGTCGCATCAAGGTTTTCAGTTCAATAATGAACATGTGATTCCCTTTCAGCCAGTAGGAAAGGATTAAAGTTTAGAAGATGATTTGGGGGAAAGAACAATGCCTAAGTTCTCTCTTATTCAAGGTTGATATCTGAAGCATGTAGCTAAGGGTCTCTATGTGTAGGATAAAGGAAATGCTACCAATAGCAACATGGAGAGATGGGGAGGGGGCTCAAGGTCCTTTAGAGGATTCTTGAGCCACAAACTCAGCTAGCTTGGGACTTGTACTTAGACAGAACTTTCCATTATAAAAGCTTACAAGTTTCCTTTCTATTTAATCTCGTTTGGATATGCTCATCTCTAACTTAAAATCGTGTGCATTCCAAATGATCCTTGATCTTTGTGACCTTCTGAAGACACCTGTGTGACCTTTTGTGACCATAACCCTTTTGAGCCTCATTTCCCTTATCTGAAAAATGAATATAATTATGTCTGGCAGAGTTTTTCATGAATATCATTTGAGGTTCAGAACAAAGCCTGAGGGAGGGCACATGAACTGATACTTCCCGAGTGCTTAAATTTGTGATAGGACTGTTCATTGCTTTTAGGGGGAAACTAAAACTAGGGGAAGAGAAATGCACTAATAATATCTATATAAAATGGCAGGAAATTGCATGCCTATGATCTTCCTTTCAGTCATATGGTTTAGATTATTGGGTATTTATTCGCCAAGGTACCTGGTATGCCAGGGAAGGTCACAGGTGCAAGGGTAAAAATCAGTATTAGAAAAGGGTACATAGAGAATTCACATTAAAGGCAAAAACTTAAAGGCTAAGTAGGAGAATAATGGAGAACATTTTAAGCAAAGAAAGAGGCACAGATATTCGAGTTGGGAAAGAACTTGATGAAGAGAAAAAGGAATCAAGTGAACAAAACATGATGATCAAGGGATATTGGGTGTGGGTAGAGAAGCTGGGAAGGTCAATGTAGACAGATAACAATAGGATTTGTTGAAGAACATGAAGCTTTCTGAATTACCTGAGTGTGAAACGAGGCCACTAAAACGCTTTAAGGAAAGGAGTCTGGTGACATGATAGACACAGCATTTATGTTCCTGGGACTTAAAGGACAAGAAGGAGCAGATGAATTAGGTTGTTGATCTAAGCATCTGATGCATGCCTTGCTGTACAGTGGGGACAATGGAAATGGAACTGGGAATGCATTTGAGCTTTTATTTGAGTTCCGGCTAATAGTTTTGGTGGGAGGTGGGAGGGATTGTGGTGAATCTTGGGGAGAGTGAAGTCATGAATGACTCCTCAACTTTGGGGAAACCAACAGGCAGATGTTTCTTGAATTTTGCAGGCAAATGGATGGAGCTAGAAAACATCATTTTGAGTGAGGTAACCCAGACACAGAATGACGATGATCACATGTACTCACTCATAAGTGGATTTTAAGCATAAAGCAAAGAAAACCAGCCTACAAACCGCAATCCCAGATAATCTAGACAACAATGAGGACCCTAAGAGAGACATACATAGATCTAATTTACATGGGAAGTAGAAAAAGACAAGGTCTTTTAAGTAAATTAGGAGCATGAGGACCTTGGGAGAGGATTGAAGGGGATGAGAGAGACAAGGAGGGAATCAGAGGAAAAATGTTGAGCTCAATAAAAATCAATTAAAATAAAATAAAATACAATTGAAAAAAAGAAAACTGAAGTCAGGTTTGGGGCATGTTCAGATTGGGTGCTGCCTGTATGAAAATCTCTGGGAGTCAATGGTACCTGGTAGTAAGAAAGTGGAGGACAGGAAGGAAATGCCTGACCTCCCTTCTCTTGGGAAGTATTCTCTCAAATTATTCTCCCTATAAAACAGTCTTCAGAACTCAGTAAGAGGAGTGGGGACTGCAGCCTGGCTAGAAAGACTAGTGACAAATGCAGGGGAGAAAAAATACTGGAAAAGGTGACCAAAGAGGAAAAATGAAAAGGGGGAAGCTCAAGATGATGGAATACGGGTGATTGTCAGTGAATTAATGTCTTAGCAGAGATAAAAGGGAGAATCTAGTATTTGACGTTGACCCATCTGAGATCAACAAGTTGGTGATGTGGATGAGAATTGAAATCTCATTGTTCTGGAACACAGAGATCTGAAATACTTTATTTATGACACATCCCACAACACATGAACATGGATGCCATGGGCACACATGCAAGTATACAGACCCATGTGCAAAAGTGGTGGTTTGTGAGAATTTGTCTAGGGGAATATGTGATTTTCATAACACTCAATGCTATTTCGTAGATAAAATTGGGTACATAGGAGGAGTGTATCCATGTTTTTCAAATAAATATATAAAAATATGAGCCCCATATTTCATTGGTAGAGATAGTCATTTCAGAAGATACAGAGACTAAGATGGAAAATTGAAGCTACTGGGCTTGAGTACTCTAATGTCCCCACCTTCATCTTTTTTTCTTTTCCTATTTTGTAGCACTGATGACTTTTAAGAATTGTGAGTTTATTTGTCAGCACAGTTCTTAGAATGTTCCATTTGTGTTGTTTATGTCCACATTGAAAGAGTCTACCACAACAATGGTGTATACACATGCCCACCAAATATTGGCAGAATAAATTTAAGAGGGCAGATTGAGTGGATGGATGTTTTATAAATAGAGGATTTCAGTAGGGTGTGAGCAAGTTCTAGATGAAGACAGAGCAATAAACTAGACTGCAGGGTTGAAATAGCTAAGCGGGAGGCAGTAATGACATTACCTGACCTGGTACTCCATCTGTAATGCAGGTATTAGCAATGTGCTCAAAGCAGAAGTCTTTGGAATTGAGGGATTTGGGTTTTCGCTTCCAAGCTCAAGATTTCCCACAATGCCATATTCTTTCCTCACCTATGCTATTTCCCGCAGTCATTAAACCACCTCTCAACTCACAGAAACCTTGTTTCTTCCCACTTAGGCCTGATGAAATATTTTCTGTCACAGACACTTTCTCTGTATGATTTGTTTTCTGAGATCTATGTATTCGTCTCTCCTAGCTCTCCACTGTGGTTTGAATCCGAGGGGCATTGATCACCCTGCCCATGCTGAAGGAATTAAGCTGCAGATTGAAGCTGGAGGTGTAGAATCTCAGTCCATTAAAAACAAAAATTTCCAGAAGGTGCCTGACCAAAAAGGAACCCCCAAGAGACTGCAGGGAGAAGCTGAGACAGCAAAGGTGAGCCCCTTGCCAATGAAACACTCAAGGTCCGAAGCTGTGCCCTTGCTAAGCTGTGGTCCAGCCACAAAGAGAAGGGCTGATGATACTTTTGCTAATCGCTGATGTATCTTGCAATCTCAGTGCTGTGTCTTGCTGATAAGTGATAGAAAATGACAATGTTGACTGAGTTCCCTTGGGCGAAATTGAAGCACATGTAGCTGTCCTGTAGTAGAAGGCTCTGGAACATACAAAACTAGATTTTTAAATCTTCTTTCTTTTTGCACAAGTTATATAACTTTAGGTTTCATATTCTCCCTCTATAAAGGAATTCTAAAATCTGCTTCCCCCATTAGGATGAGCTGAGCTGAGTAACTGATTTTGTGACTTTAGGGGCTTTTACTGGCAAAATCTGCCAATTATAACAACAGACTTTTGTAAAATATGTATGTGTATGGCAAATTTAAAGGTAATCGGGGCAGGGACTTATATCTTTAATCTTGTGTCTTTAATATTTCTATGAGCCACACGATAGTAAACCTTAGTTAATGAAAGACAAAGCTGTTCTACTTTGACTTTTTAGTCTTTGGCCTAAAATGTAGGCCCCATACAACTGATGAAAGGATGTGTGGAATGTATATACCAAAAAGTGGGGTTCTGAGTGCCAATGAGATTTTTTTGTGAGTACAGTCTCTCATAAAGGGTTTCTCTTTCTTAAAATTCACTGTGGGCAAATATAAAGACCCCAAACCAGACATTTCATGAGCATGTGCATGCGCGCACGTGCACACACACACACACAAAAAGAGAGAGAGAGAGAGAGAGAGAGAGAGAGAGAGAGAGAGAGAGAGAGAGAGAGAGAGAGAGAGCTTGGTGCACTCAGCCTTAAATGGGTTGTTTCCATCAAGTTTCTCCCCTCAGACCTTAAGGAACTCAGCAGAAGAAGAGGCAGAAAGAGTGTAAGACCTAGAGGGAATGGTTGACACCAAGAAAACAAGTTTTTCTAAATCAACATGAGCGAAGTTCTTATGAACTCACAGGGACTGAGGCAGCATGCACAGCGTCTGCACAGGTCTGCACTAAGGCCTCTGTGTATAATATTATGGCTTCCAATTTCGTGTTTTTATGGGATTCCTGAGTATGAGGATGAGATTCTTGTGCCTTCTTTCTGGGCTCTTTTCTTTCTGTTGGTTTGTCTTGTCCTACTTTGATATGATGGTTTTTTTGTTTTATCTTAATTGTGTTTTATCTTATTATTATCTTGTGGAAGCCTGCTCTTTTCTAATGAGAGACAGAAAGTGAGTGAATCTGGATGGTAGGGGAGGTGGGGAGGAACTGAGAGGAGTAGATGGAGGGGCAACTGTAATCAGGATATATTGTATGAGAAGAGAATCTACTTTCAATTAAAGGGGGGAAAGCCACTGTATAGATGTTTGTGTGAACTCAGTGAGGATATCCATGCCAGTTGTCGAAGATGTTCACTTTAACTTGGAGGGAATTAATCTTCATAGACATTGGTTCCTCTCTCTGTGGACTCCCTACCAGAGAATTTCCATTGATGTTTGTTGGGTGAGTCAGTGTGTACAAACCTTAGGAAACAAACGTAAGAACCAAAGGACAATCAGTTGTTGGGAAGTCATCTGACTGTCGTTCTGTGGTCCTCTCACCTCTCCCCCAAATCGTGTTCTGTGTTAAAATGCAATTTTGATTTTGCTTTACCTACGATTGCAAATAATGACCATTATTGCTTCCTCTATTTGGCTGGATAATTAAAAGCTGATGATGTTACTCCTATGTATCTCTGAGTGTGAGGGAAGAAGTGGTGAGTGATTAGTGAGGAAGTTATTGCAAGCACTTTGCCCTGAATATTTCTAGGGAGAGAAATAGCCCCTTAAAGGAAATTGGTGGATGGTCTACGTTTGGCTTGTGAGCAGAGCTGGTGATAAGTGAGCTTTACCATGGCATCTAAACATAATCAATCTCTGGTGCTATACAGGTATCCAGAAGATCCAGGGGAAAAAAAATATCCTCAGGGTCTTACTTTACTCCGAAGATAAACAGAGCTTGTCTGAGTTAAAGGATGTCTATAATATTATGAATCCAACTGGGGGGAAAATTAATTCTTGATATCTCATTTTATTTTAATTCAAATGTAATTGAATATTTCCAGATTATACTTCTGCTCTTTAAAAATATTTACAGAAAATCGATTCAGGTCGTATGTGGTTTGATTGCTTCTGAATTAATGTTGAATATGTGACTTTATGATTCTGCAGGAAATCCCTACAGTTCTGGAGAGTAGCCCTCTGACTCTGCAGAGCCTTCTGTAAGTGCTTTGCTGAGAGCATAGTTCTCTTAAACCTGAGGAACTAGTACAAACCTTTTCGAAACAATAGAGCACAGTTAGAAACTATGTTCGTTGGACTTTGTCCAAATCATCTACAATAAAACCCCGAAGTTCCAGCGTGTTTTGCATTAACATGTTTAAGGGTAAACAGAGTAGAAATTTCAATAAGTCATGAACAGAAATTCACAATTCAATTCCAAATGCTCAAGGATGTGTCCATCTCTTCATAGAGGGTTGGCAGATGAAGATGGTTGCTGGCAAGACGGAGTAACGGTGGCCTAAGGTGATGCCGGCAGATCCGGTGGCATCACAACCTGAAGTCTTCCCCATGAGCAGTTCAGACTCATTTTGTGCACACATAGACACACTTCTGTTTTCTCTTCTGCTGTTTGTACAGGGCCAGCAGACCGTGGGCCATCTTCTTTTCTCTTACGTAGGTAGTTGACTCTCTGCTCCCTTCACCTACTCTCAACTTACCCAATAAATCTCTGGCCCAAATACGTGCATTTAAAGCCACTCAGCGGTGCAAAGGGACACATATTTTTTTTTTCCTGTAAGACAGTTTAATATTAGTTCCTAACATTTTCAGGGGATATTACTTTCAGGCCAATGAATCTCTTTCTAGGAATGTATCCCAAGGACATAATAAGATATGCAAAGGTGGATACAAAATATTGGTCAGCCCACTGTTTGTTATATGAAAACATTTAAAACACCTTGTGTCATAGCACACTGGCTAAAGAAGCAATATATGTTCATGTAGTGGAAGAGAGTGCCTCCTTTTAATGGTACAGGGGTTCTGTATGTATTTATGTAGAAAGATAGAGGTGATAATATTTTAAATTGGAAAGGAATGTTACTACAGGGTACGTAGTGTTAAATATGTAAAAATGTCCTTTGAATAAGGGCATCACACATGGGGAAGTGTTTAGTCTCCATTTTGAGGAGTGGTTTATATTGAAGTTGAGCTGAAGGGAAACATTATACACATCTGGTTTGTTTGAATTTTTTAAACATAAGCATTGTTTTCATTATCTTTATTTAGAAGACTCTTCCATATTTTTGTATTTATAGTTTCGTCCTGATTTTTCCTGTTTATTAGTGTTCTCCCTTTCAGACTGGTGGATTTCCTTCCTTGTGTGGCTTCTATTCCTGTAGTTAAGTTGTTTGCCAAAGGAGTAAAGTTTCTAATGCCTGTTGATAACTTTTTTTTATTTTTATTTGTTGAAAAAGTGAGTGACGGGGTCTTTGCCTTCTTGTGTCTTGGGTTGTAGACAGTTTCTGATGAGATACTCCTTTTACATCTGTGTCCACCTGGGGATCCAAAACTCTGACCAGCTGTTACCTTAGCATTACAACTGGCCGTTCTGATTATTGATTTTTGACCTGTTTGACACTTCAAGTTCTCCCATGCATGTCTCCTAGACTTTACTCGGAAAGCCATGCTGCAGCTCCCTGCTGTTCCTTTAGGCTCTGCCATGTTGAGTTGACAATGTTAGGCTGTGACACCAGTCCCTTCTGTCATCATCACCTGTTTTGGATCCCCAGTGGATGCTATGAGATTTGTGCCTCTAACTGGCTGGAATTCATCGTCTTTAATATTCAACTTTGCTTTACACAAAGCACCAGCTAAGCAAGTAGCCAGTAACATGTTGCCTCCAGCTCTTATAAAGCAAAGAGAAGCCAACAGAGTGCCCTACTGTGTTCTGATAACTTATTGATGGGAAGTCTTCATTTTAGGTCACAGAACTGAACACAACTGAAATTGATCTCTTTGAAAGACATTTATCAATGTGAAGTCTCAGGATTCCCTTGGGTCCCTAGGAATCTTTGCTGAGAGTGTACATAGCATCCCAGCAGCTGCAGTTCCAAATTCAAGATCCAGAAATAATGCTTTAACTTTGCTGGGAAGAGTGTGAGGCAAGAGACAGGCTATGCACAGCATTCCTGTGTCGTGGGGAAGGCCCAGAAGTTCTTCGGAGGAACCACTGCTATAACCAATAGGCTCTGTGACACAGCAAAGGTGCAGCCTCTTTCTTAGCAATATTCTCTACCATTCTATTCATATAGTCTATATAGTCTACGGGCAAGTGATGGTTTCTACAAGTAGGTGATGTTTTCAAGGAAACAACCCTGTGGGTTGCAGATCCTGATGACAGGGCCAGAACTGAGATAAGCTGGCCTTTTACTCCCAAAGAATTTGGTACAAGACTATTAGGGAGGGTGGCTCATTGAGCCCAGGTAGAACTACACCTGTGCTGTAACATATTCAAGCACATAGCAGCGAGGCTGGATGATGTGCTTCGCGTTGAAGACTAAGTAAGCATCATGGGACAGATGTGGCAGTCGAGATACGCAGGTGTGTTCAGCATAAGTATCAGAGAGTTGTATATGTATGGTGGAATTCAAGGTGGATAAATTATTTAGGGCCAGGTGTGTGGGACTTGAGTGAAGGGCATTAATTTATTTTCAGCAGGATTGTTCAGCGACGTCGCCACTAGGAACCTTTGACTATGGAAATTTTAAAAATTTGAGTAAAGTGAAAACAGCTCTTTTTGTTTTGTTCACAACCGCCATGTTTCAAGTTTGTGATCGCAGCATGTGTCTGCAGGCTCTGTCTTGTGATGAGAGGGTTGCAGATGATGGGTATCATGGCAGGAAGTCCTTCTATAGT